CGAGTGGCCCTCCTCTGGACCCTCTCATTGCTGTCCACATCCCTCCTGAAGTGCGGCGCCCAGAACTGGACGCAGTACTCCAGCTGCGGCCTGACCAGTGTCACATAGAGGGGGAGGATCGCCTCCTTGGACCTGCTTGAGATGCATCTGTGGATGCATGACAAGGTGTGGTTAGCCTTCTTGACTGCATCCCCACACTGCCGGCCCACATTCATCTTGGCATCAATGCTGGGCTTGAGTCAGAACATCCTTCTATTTCTATCCCTCTCTTCCATCCTGAACTCTAGGATGGAGGGATCATTTCTAGCCTGATCTGTGCTATGTTGTAGTCATGACGGTCCAGGGAACATGGCTTGTGGCTGCTTCTGATAACTTTCCTTTGCTCTATACGTTTGCTCCCTTCTTTCTTTATTAAATGACAATTTTCATTTATATAAAGGGCTTAAGGAAAAGAAGTTGTATGGTCTGGTATTTAGTTCAGGCTGTATCTGCTTCTCTCCCAGACCTGAGGAAGGGCACTTTAAGCCCAACAGCTTGTCTACTATCTCTCCCAACTGTAAATTTCATTCAGTGAAATACATTAACAAACAAATCTTGCTTTTCCGATTTGAGTAATTTCTAAGGTAACTAAAGAAGAAATTACTCACCACTAAAATTGGGTTAAGAAACGCCACCAACAAACTTCCCTACAGGCTTCCAATACCCTCTGCTTGCCAAGCACATAGATGTTTACAAGGGTACAAAGCAGGAGCAAGCATGGCACCAGTCCTGGGTGCCAGTTTAGAGGAGGTAAGTGCTGCAATGGCCCTTGTGTCAGTGCTTGGTACCCCCAAGTTTAGTGCCTCCCCCTTAATGCTTTATCTCAGGTGGGCTGTCCCAGCCCCCCATTATTAGATAATACTGTAAGGCCCATCACCAAATGGACTTGGTGCTCAGCCTTCTGAACTGGTTCAGTGTTTACCTCATGGCAGTGGGGAGAGGTGGGCACATATCACTTAGAACATATTGTTCCATATGTGATACCTTTCATGGAAGGCTTCAATGCCCTTTGGCTAATGGG